GAAGCGTATTGCAGTAAAAAAATAGTCTATACTTTGATTTATATTTTATTTTATTTACTAATGTGTTAAAATAACAATACAAAAACAGCGCTAAGTATTTTTTGTACATTACTTTTTTTTACTTTTATTTTTACTTTATTTTTTAATTTAAATTAAAATTTTTATTTAACTTTAAATTTTTTTAATTTCCTAAATTTAATTCTTGTGGCTTTATATTACCTTTTTGAATATACGTTTAAATATATTTGAATTAAATAATTATTTAGAGATAAATAATTATTTTTATATATATCTATTTATCTAAATATTTATAAAAATATAATATAACTTTACAATGTATATACATTCCAGTTTAAATTAATTACATAATTATTCATGTTATTTAAATAAAGATGAATAAATATATATATATATATATATTTTACTGAATTTATTTTGTTATTGTATATATTATAAACGTTTAAATAAAGCAATAATTATACATTTGTATCATTATAAGAAATTTATCTAAATATTATATATTATGTTGTCACTTACTTAGTGCAACTTTTGATTTGACTACTTTTTGATGCTAATATTTTAACCTTTTTTCTCGTATTATCAATATAATTATTTAGCGCAATTTTTGATTTCACTACTTTTGATGCTAATATTTAATTTTTTTCTAGTATTTAACAAAAATAAAATAAATTTATAAATATAATTTTTGAGAAAATATTTTTGATAATGATTAATTTTTGCAAGAATTATTTTGGCTATAACATAATTTTTGAGAAGATTATATTTTTTTTATTATAAAGAACTATTTTTGCTGACGAAAGATATAATTAGCGCTTTTTTTTTACATCTGTGATGTCTTTTTTTGTGGGATTATATTATATTTAATATTTATCGCCGCTTCTATTAATATAAGTGCAATGTCAACGTGCATAATGTACATTATTTAAAGTTTCCATGCCTAATGTATCATGCCGTATAAAAGAACGTCAAGTAGCATGCGTAGCCGAGCAACTAGATGACGAGCTGAAATCGTGGACCGGTTTTACGATAAATGTGTGTATTTAAATTGCACAAATATTAGGACAAAAGATGGAAAACGTTTATTTCGATTTCCATTACAAACGGGTGCGAGACATGATTTATGGTTACGCAATAGTGGTGAGTTTATAAAATTGATTTACTTATTTATATCAATATATAATATATATTGATATGATATATGAAACAAATATATATATATATATTCTTTGTTTTTTTTAATAAAATATGTCAGATATTATGTATGTTTACGTATGGATTACGTTGAAGTGTTTCTTTGCCGCGTTTTTCTGATCTCGCCGAACGGTTCGCGAATCCTGTGCGAATAAAAAACGATGCGCGTGTGTGTGTGCGTGCGATTGTGATGATCAGTTTCAGTTCGTCTTCAACGCTTGACGAGAGAAGAGGTCCCGAACTGCTGTAAGTTTATAAAAACATATTTTTGTATAACACATTAGAACGATTTTATATTATTTTTTTTGTCTAGAAAACGTTATATTAATAACCGTTATGAAAACGATCTCGACGACGGCGACGATGCCGGTGACGACCGTCGTCGAGATCGTTTTCATAACGGTTATTAATATAACGTTTTCTAGACAAAAAAAATAATATAAAATCGTTCTAATGTGTTATACAAAAATATGTTTTTATAAACTTACAGCAGTTCGGGACCTCTTCTCTCGTCAAGCGTTGAAGACGAACTGAAACTGATCATCACAATCGCACGCACACACACACGCGCATCGTTTTTTATTCGCACAGGATTCGCGAACCGTTCGGCGAGATCAGAAAAACGCGGCAAAGAAACACTTCAACGTAATCCATACGTAAACATACATAATATCTGACATATTTTATTAAAAAAAACAAAGAATATATATATATATTTGTTTCATATATCATATCAATATATATTATATATTGATATAAATAAGTAAATCAATTTTATAAACTCACCACTATTGCGTAACCATAAATCATGTCTCGCACCCGTTTGTAATGGAAATCGAAATAAACGTTTTCCATCTTTTGTCCTAATATTTGTGCAATTTAAATACACACATTTATCGTAAAACCGGTGTTTACTCGACATTGTAAAATAAAAATAATAATTAGCACCAACACCAAAAAAAAAAGAAAATTAAAAAATGCGAAATTAAAGAAAACAGGACACTAACAAATAAACAACTAACACTAAAATAATCTTAATTAAAAACTAATTATAGTTAAAATTAATATGAAAGAAACAAATATACTAAACACGCGTACACAACACGTAAAATTTATTTATTTCAAGGAAAAACAGCGTAAAGCGATCTCTATCGTATTATAACTCTGAGCGTATTATGCGATGCAATCTGTGGCACAGCGAGTGGACTGATTGTCGTATACAGATTGCAAGAAACATTTGAACTAAAAAAATTGAATATCTAAATTATGTGTGTGGGCGTTTGCATTAATAATTAAATTCCTTGCAGAATTAAAAAATAATTTATTTTGTTCCATTACAAAAAAAATTATCAAATAATGATATATTGATTATTACACATTTATACACATAATAACTTATTTGAAAAAAGTGAAAAAAAAATCTGAAAAAGGCAGGGGTTTGAACTTGAAATGTCCACGATTTCAGCTCGTCATCTTAGTTGCTCGGCTACGCATGCTACTTGACGTTCTTTTATACCGGCATGATACATTAGGCATGGAAACTTTAAATAATTGTACATTATTGCACGTTGACATTGCACTTCATATTAATAGAAGCGGCGATAAATATTAAATATAATATAATATATATTAAAAATTACATTCCAAAATCCAGGTGGTCGAACAATTAATCGTTCTTTTTATTTTAATTAAAATAAGATTTATATAAATTTAACGTATACACGGGCATATAAGAGCCAATCGCGGATAACAATGCTTTATCTAACAAAACTAAATAATTTTATATTAGAATTAAATACCGGTGCACAAGGCACCAAATTTTAACTTGGACCGGCCAGATTTGTAAAATATGAAATAATCTCATATTTGGATTTAATGCAATACCCCCTTTTAACCCCCCTACGGAAAATAATAAATGAATGCAAGATAAAAATATAGATCCGAAAATCGCTGAATCGGGAAGATTTGATATTTCATTACACATATACATATATAATATTATTTTAATAATTATATTTTAGTTTTAAATACAATTATATAAATACATATTATATATATATATAATATATATATATATATATAAAAGAGAAAAGATAGCACATTACAGAATGAATACGTGATACTGTGTTAAACGAAAATTATGGGCGTAGCACGGACTCGCACCAAATACAACTTTATCGACCCTGCCAGAAAATGGTGTGCAGTTAGTTCCGATATTAAAAACGGGTGCGAGGGGCGCTTCAAGCAGTCCCGTAAAAACGGTAACAGCCAAAACGCCGGCCTGGCCGCTCTCATCTTTCTCTCTGACGCGACGAACGTTTCGGACGTTTCGATTTGACCATCGGAGCAGAGAATCTTTCCCTCCTTCGTCCTGATTAGTCGATCGATCAAATAATTGAAAACTTATTATAATATTCTTATAACTATATATTAATGTTATTATATTTATTATTTATATCATATGAATTATTATATTAATTACTAATAATATATATAATTATATTAATTTAAGATTAATAAATATATAATAATATATTTTGTGAATATTATTAATTTAATTATAAAAATATTTATAATCTATTCTTCTTATAATTTTATAATTATGATTATATTATATATATATATATATATATTTATAATACAATATATAAATAAATAATATATAATTATATTATATTATATATAGATATATATATATATATATATATATATATATATAAATAAATATATTTCCTTTATACATATAAATATATATTATATATAACTTGATATGATTATATATGAACCCTATAATTTATAAGCGCTTATATAGTATATTAATATTTTGTTTTAAATAATATTCAAGTCATTCCTTTTTTTTTTGCTACTCTAACATTATTTTCCCAAGTAGCAAACTGACACATCATTAAATGTCAAAATGACGTTAGTTTAGATTAGTTTAAGTTTACACGAAATATGTTTCCATATAATAAATTAATTAAAATTTGAATTATTTTTATCGGTACTGAATTTTTATGATTAATCAATTTTTATACAAAAAAATGCGTGCGATTTAAAGCTATTTATTATTTACGTTATATTATTTTTTAATATTTTACTGTTATTGTACTTTATATCACATCGAAATATTGTCATCACAAATTAAAAAAAAGACATCTATATATATAGAATCATCAATAATGCAATTATTATTTTGAAAGAAGAAAAGGAGAAAAATAAGACATATTTACGTATTTGAATTAAATCTCTTATAGCTCATACTATATTATACATTAAACAAACCGGGTATGCTTTGATGCATCATGTGCTTACGTCGTCACATATTTTATTGACACTGGTAATACTCGCTGTAATTATTCACTTTGCACATTTCCTAATTGCCCAGCCTACCACAAAAGACAAAGCTGGAAATTTATTAAGAATAACAATATATGTTCAATCATATATAATCGGTACAAATTGATGAATTTTTTTCAGAAAATTTTAATATAGTAATAACGATAACATACAAAACATTTAAATTTAATATACTGCTTTTCCATAATTCTATTTACACACAAGAGATTCTCCTTCAAGTATATCTTGTCATGTTGGTGTTGGTGTTGGTGTTGGTGTTGGGAAAAAAATCCTACTAATGGAAACAAAAAAATTATTTCTATAATATATTTATATATAATATCTACAAGAGGAAAAGATAGAGAGAAAGCAAGGGAAAAAGGGGGGAAAAGATCAAAACATACATCCACATTGTATGAAAGTTAAATACAAGCTTAGTTAAAAGACAAAAGTAATAAATATGCAATCACAATTAACTGCAATTATTCATTCTTGTTCTTTTCAGACAGTCAGACTTCTCTGTATTTTAAAAACTCACACAACACAATTTTTCTTATTTCGAATTATTCCCTCAGTTTCCCCCGGCTCCTATTTCTGCTTCAATGTTGTAAAACGAAAATTCCGTATTACGTAAATTACAATTACATATTTACGCATGTAATAAATTCACTAATCATTTTCACTCTACACATGACAAAATGGTGAAATTTAATGAAAGAACAACGCGAGAGAAGAAGCCTTCGGCTCTTATGGAAGTTTAGCTCGTTAAGAATAATTAAGGGATGATCAGAATATGAAGAAGGCTCGACTGTATACGATATTAAGCGAACTATGTACATTGATCGGACAAAGTATTCTCGTTTCAAAGCTCGACCATTAATTATCGGCAATAATACAATTTTTGCCGGTAATTAAATACTCTGCGTTTATACATGCTTAATCGCACGCACACACACGCACACACACATACATACACACACATTACGTACACAATTTTTCGTAATTATAATATTGAGCATCCGTTCGTCTTCATCGATATTTCGGTCGCAGAAATTCGAGGAGTTGATTTAACACTTTATTCTCCTTTTTTGTTTAAAACCTGGCTTCTATGTATTTAAATTTCTCCGCTATTGTTCGTTCGTTTATAATGGTACTAATTGTAATTTGCTTTGTCTATAACAATAAGGAGACGACATAAGTTACGCAACGCGTGTACGTTAACTCTAAACGATCTCTCTCGCTTAACCATCGAGACTATATTCCGGGTCTAAGGCCGAATGAGAAACGTTCACATCGTCGGAATGGGTCTCGTATTGGTAGCAATTTTCGATCACTAAATTCGCGAGTTCCTTTATACGCTCGTACGGCCTGGGATCCGCTATTACTGTGTGCAGCTTCTCCATTCCTCCTTCCTTCACCACCAGTGCGCAATATTTGTATGCTAAAACAAACATCGGACATCGTAGAATAGCTAAAAGGACATATACAAGGTGATTCATTTTAATAGCCCCAGGCAAAAGTTTTTTTACTTCAAGGGAGGCTATAAGATAATGTCACTGATTTGACCTTGTATAATTTTGAAGGTCACCTTCAATTTCTTAAAAGGAACCTACTATGTTTCGTCACATATTCTTGTAGCTTATCTCGAGAGCTTTCTAAAACCTTATATTATTTTTTTCTTAATTAATTAAGAAAATAAATTTAATACTTCGAAAACCGAATATTTTACAAGATCTTTTATATTTTATGTGAAAAAATTATTAACTTGAAACTTAAGAGAAAAATATTTTATTATAATGTTTTTTTGAAAAACTCTCAAGATAAGCTACAAGAATATGCAAAGAAAAATAGTAGGCTCCATTTAAGAAATTGAAAGTGACCTTTATGTGACCTTCAAATAATTATACAAGGTCAAACTAATGACATCATCTTATGTCCCCCTCAAAAAACTTTTGTTTGAAACACACTTTTTTGTATCTCCTCAGTTTTCAAAATATCTGCCAAGCGCTTAAAATAAACCATCCTGTTGGTGCATTCGCAACATACATAAGAGAGAATTAATAATTGTAATAATATACGTACGATATACTTTGGTGAGATTGGCGAGAGCCCAAGCAGCCCAATGTTGACACGGTGAAGTGTGATATACATCCAACAGACGCAATAGCGGTCCGAACGAGCGATAATTGATATTACGTTCCGCCTTCAAGTCCCAACTTTCAATCGCCTGTACCATGTATTTGAGCACCTCGTTGCGAGTCGGTTTCTCTATCGTCCAAGCTTCAAGACCATCCGATGCCATGTGCGCCAATATTCCAGCAGCATTGTACGGAACCTATGCAAGAAATACACTGTTAAAACATATATATATATACACATATTTTTCAGACATCAAAATGATGTCATTTTAACGTTAGTTATAATTATAGACGTCAGTTTGCTACTTGAAATATATTATATAATAATAATAATAATATATAATAATATAGAATAATAATACTATAACAATATATAATATAATTATATATATAATATATAATAAAATAAATAATAATAACAATAAATGTAATATATCAAGAAATATAGCTGTTGCTCTTAATGAACGATAGTATCCAAATAAAATTAAAATAAAGGATTGACAATTAATCTAAGGAAAAGAGAGAAAAAAAACCTCAATTCCGTCGCTATTAGAGCGCAACAAGCTGGCGAAGACAGTCACATATCGTTCCTGCATAAGGTGGATCCGAAGATATTCAACTTCCGCCACGTTGCCGAGCAAACCCATCATATTTCTCAGCAACTCCTCTTTATGTGGATATTGCTAAAGGATATACGAAAAAAATTATTGCAATATATAAAAAAAAATGCGCGCTCAAACATATATTATGATGAAACCGTACCTTCACGCATAGAAGGAAAAGCGTCATGCCCTTTTCATCTAGGAATCGTTGGCAATTCACGGACGTTTCATCAGTCATGTTCCACATCGTCGACCAGGCGACTTCTAATACGTCATCAAATATGTTGGAGTCCACTCTATATTCGACCAATTCTAACATTGTCTTGACGCAACCCAACTTGCCAAGTAGTCTCTTTTCTTTACCTTCCACTTGACAAGCCAAAGAGTTTAATAGATATATGCCGATTCTTTGGACGAAGCTCTCTGGTTCCGAATGTTTGGCTGAATGTAAAAGCACCTTCACCAGCGCTTCATAATTCGACATCTGCAAAAGTGAAAATGATAATAATGATAAAATATTGCAATAATTATATTATCATTTTTACTATGTATATTTACTTATATAAATTAAATTTTATTATTCAATTAAATTTGATCATATATTCAATTTAATTATATTTAATTTTCTTATTATAATTATTACAATAATTATTTATATATATTATATACAATAATTATATAAATTATATATTATTATACACTATATATAATAATTATTATTATATTGTACATTATTATATATATTATCCCAATAAAAAATGTTTTTCTATGCGATTTAATTGCAAAGAATTTATTGGATGAAATGCAACGTTATTATCAATGCGAAAAATTAAAAGAAGGCAATACGAACCACATCTTGAGGTATGCGAAATTGACACAAGGCTAAACAACCGTTCCTCATCATAGTCTCCTCATCTCTGTGCGCGCTCATGCCAGCAAGTAAGGTACTGATAATCCTTCTCTTCATTCGTGTCACTAGTTCACCCTTTTCCTTCATCTTCACTATGTAAAATAACGTGGCGCTGCAACACAATATTAATAGAATCATATTAAGCTAGAATTATTATATTATACATTAAGAGAATCAGAATTGCACAAACATTGTAATGATGCTTTCTCAAGTCTCGCAATTACTCTGCTTGACACAGTGAAAATTATTTGCAAACAATAAAACGTAGATTTATATTTTATACCTTCCCGATATTTGTATATGCTTCTGAGCTGGATGCTTTTCCATCGCTTCCAAAACGGTACACAAGGCTTGATCCATTCTATGACAATTTTCATACCTAAATACGTGATACAAGTCGCTCAAGACCTTTTGCAATAATTCCTGCTTATTGTCCATACAAACGTGAGCTGCGATCAATATTTGATCTTCGTTTGCATCACCAGCCACCTGTAAAAATAAAAAATCCACATGACAATCAATAAGATAAAGAAAAGAGATTAATATTTTTATTTTTATTAATTTTATTATATTTATATTTTATTATTTATAATTATATTTATTTGTTATATTATATTTTATTAATTTTAATATATTATTATAATTATATTTAATATTATATTATTATTATGTTTAATATATAATATTATCATTCTTTAATTGAATATTTTATTAATTGTATGATTTAATTTAATCTGAATCATATATGCAACTCACCACTTTTGCTGGTATATCGTGCCTCCTGCAAGCACCGTAAGCAGTACCGTAAAGTCCTAAAAATTGTAACGGCTTGTTTATCCTAGACGCAAGACCCGGTATATCAGAAAGCTGACCGAAATTAAAATCTTCGAAACCACCAAGTTTCGTATAGACAGGACGTTCGGCTACGCCTCTACCCGCGAGATTCGTGCCGCCGATATCTAGGGATACCAATTGGGGTAAACCGTTTACTAAATCACATAAAATCTTGTTGGGATTTTCAAACTGTCCATGCTTGTTATTCGATTGCGAGATATCCAAGTGCCTGTAAAAAAAATATTTTACATTAAATCTTTATCATATCTGATGCATACTATTGTACTATTCATATTATACTACTATATTATATTATATTATTATATTATATCATATTATATTATTTTATATTATATTTATATTATATTATACTATTTATGATTATATTACAGCTACCTTACTATACCTTAAATTCTTCAATTGACAGATATTCTCAACAAAGGACTTTGGATCGGTATTGACTTTGACATTATACAAAGTTAAGGACACCAGATTCGGCACCAGATAATAAAATTGGAAGGTTTCGACGTTAAAACTATTCGACAGGTCCAGGTGCGTCAGATTGATCAAGCCCTTTAGAAGGAGGGAATATTCTGCCGCAGGTATTTCTACGTATCCCAATGCCAGACGTCTCAAGTTTGGCGTTTTGAAGACATATCCTCGTTCGTAGTAATCGATGGACGAGTCAGCTGCAAGAAACCAAGTATTGTAAATAACTCAACCAGTGTTTGTTGTTATCTAAATAAAATTATATAGATGATCATCTAGATGAAACTTTAGTGTTATCTTTATATAGATAATAAAAATATGTATTATCTATTATATATCTGCATTTTAGATGAGAGAGAGAACAAAAGTATTACTTTACTAAATTATATAGAATAATTTTCAGATAATTTTAGTTTAGAATCATAGCACATAATAATATGTAAATAGTAGAACTTAAACAGTAAGCAATAAAAATTTATAAATAAAATATGAATATCTATATATTTTTATATCCTTTTTATAATTTATATATTTTTTTATCACTGTGTTCACATAAGTAGTCTTAAAAATGATTATCTAGAAAATTATCTAGTTAAATTGCCATATAATTTTATCTTTTATTTAGAAATATATAAAACAAAATCATTTTTATCTAATTTACAGGATGCCCCATAAGAAATTACTAAAACTAATCAGCCATCATTTTTTAATGCATGCAGTTATTGAGAAAACAAAAATTGTGTTGAAAAGAAGAAAGTCTACAGTTTTTAATGGATATAAATGAAATGTTTATATACTAGTTTATTTTATTGATAAAAAGTAATAAAAAAGTGCTAATAATCACATAAAATCACATAAACTAATGATAAATATTTTTAACAGTGCCAGATTTAATAGCAGGTATTAAAAGGATTGTCAATAACATTAAAAATGACATGTTAGAAAAAGTTTTTACGAATTTTTGTAAGAGAACAGAATTTTGTACAAATTCAAATGATGTGCACTTCAAAGATATTTATCATTAGTTTATATATGTGATTATTAGCAGTTTTTTCATTACTTCATTTCAATTTCTTTCCAACACAATTTTTGTTTTCTCAATAACTGCATGCATGCAGTTATTAAAAATGACAGCTGATTAGTTTCAGCAATTTCCTATGGAATGCTCTGTAAGATGAATTTACATATTTTTCTCATCTTTATCCAGCTACTTTTAAAATCATCTTAGCACAACACTGAACTCAACTAACAATTTTACTCAACAGACATCCTCACCTGCATTCAAATTTGATGGTACAATCGTGGTGATGCGATGAAACGCCAAGCTGTGCAGATTCTCCGAATTGTTATTGATATACTCAATACACTTTTCAGTCAAGTTGTTGCAATCGGTGAGCTCCAGCTCGTAAAGCTTGTGATTGACCACCGTTTCGACAGAAACATCGGTGAGGCTACAGTAGGAGATCTTCACGTGTTTCAGCCTCGTTGCTGTCAAACTCTCGAAAATTGAGAAGAAACAATCGTCGTCCTCGGTCGCCTCGCTGTGCTGGGCGTGCTCAATAATCCTGTCGCATATCTCACTGGGAAAGATTATACCCTTCCGCAGAATCCTACGACCACGTCTGCCCTTGATTGAGACAATATCCAGATTCTCGCAGATCAGCTTGAAGCAGAGGTCGGTGAGACGTTCTGGGCCCACATATTGATCTGTATGAAACAAGTCGTCCAGCTCGGCCATCTCTTCCTCCGCAACCTGGGACCTGAAAGCGAGATTTATTAATATTTTTCCTATTAATCTATTTAATATATTAATTTTTCCTATCATTATTTTTCCTCTCATTTAATATAATAATTTTAATATATTAATATATTAATTAATATAATAATTATTCCTATTAATATATTTAATTTATTAATTTTTCCTACCATTATTTTTCCTATAATATAACATAAATTGATTTTAATATATTAATTTTTCCTATTAATATATATTTTTATCGGATCGGAGGACCGAATCACGCATGAGAGAGATAGCTAGATAAAGGGAGGGAGAAAGAGAAAGAGATAAAGAGAGAGAGGATACCCTTCTCTCCTGTGGTTGCGCAATTTCTCGCCTACCGCCGAGGATGCAGGAATAAACGAGCGTCCGCACGAACTGTCAAAAAGCTGTCAAACAGGCCAGGGGACATCAGCTGGAGGCGCGAGACGTCATGGCGCGTGTCAGAAATGTTGTTGTATACGGACTGACCGCATTTAGCCACCTCTCATCCGCGGTACCAGGCGCCCACCAGGATGTTGTAACGCGTCGTAACGTCGTGTAACTGTCTCGAACGTCACGAGCTGCTCGTAAACAAGTCGAGGAGCTTCCTCGGCGCGACACCCTGAATTAACACGATTCTTCGCAAGATCCTCCGGAAAGTGTAGCCTTCGGCTACAGCTGTTACCACAACACTGTCGCCACCATCGTGTAACTATTACAAACAGTGCTCGCCTTCAGCATATAGGCTCGTTTGACACTATTCTGTCTCTATATTTTCTCCCTTCCTCTAGAGTTTTCTCTCTTCGTGTATTTTATCGTGTGTTATTTAATGTTACGCGTCGTTCTTGGATTTTTTGACGTTTCTGATTTTTCGTTTCCTTGTATTATTTTTTGCGTGCATATGCGCGTTATTTAAAATATAATTTTATCGATTACGAGATAAAGTTTACACATGTAACGCATATGTGAATATATTTAGAGAATGTATAGGAATATCTCTCGTTGTCTAAGGGTGCGTTCCGTTATGCACTGCAAGTACTGGCACTATGACGTCATGCAAGTGTACTGTTGACAGCGTTCCTTTTTAATTTTGTGCACTTTGAAGCTACTGCAAAATAGTAAAACGGAACGCACTACAGTACGCTTTCAGCAGACTTTTAACTAACCTTTTTCGCTAATAATCATCGAGTGAAAAATTGGTGAAATGGATAATACCATTATTGCATTAATTACATATAATTTAATCGAGAATATATATGATTCGAGTGAGTCATCAAGTGAAAGCGATTTGGAAATGGAATTAATAAATGAAATGAGACGACAAATTAAAATACCTAGAATAAAATGTAAAATTACGTTAAAAATATTGTATCATTGTATTCAGATATGGAATTTAAAAGTTAGTTCCATCGTACACATGGAGGTAGCCATCTTGATTACTGCGAGTGCTTTACCTCGCCGGTTGCAGTAATCGCAACAGGAAATAACGTCAAAATTAATGACGTCATATACTCATGATAATACCACAGATTAATAGACAGATCGCCAAAGGTCTGGATGAAGGAGAGACCAGTATTTCTCACTGATTTCAGCGCCATATTGTAGTAGTGGTCAATGCAGTAACTATTAATACGTTCCCAAGATAAGAGCGTCTCATGCTCATGAACTCGTCCGGCGGCATGTACGAGATTTATCTTTTCGTAGCGTTCGCGTATTTCGGAAAGGACAGAATTTTATGATGTTATAAATAAATAAATAAATAAAATATTAACCTGACCTATTATAATTATTTTTTAATAAATGTTTCATTATTATTATCATCTCAGTCTAAGTCGTTTAATTAATTTTTAGTTTTTTAATAATTAATTTAATTTATTCTAATCATTTTAATATGTGAAAAATACTAATACGTATACGTTTTATAATAAATTAATATATTTCGAGAGTCGAATTATATATTTTTAATAATATAAAAGTGTTCAAAAATTATATTTGACTTTTAATTTTAATTATTTTAGCAAAGAGTTCCGAAATCTCTTACACACATAATAGGGATTTTGTTCATCCATATAATTCGCAATTAAGTATATATGTTAATTATTAATTTTAATAAAATACAAAATTAAAATTAAAGGTCAAATATAATTTTTGAACATAAATATATTTAATTTGTTATAAAACGTATACCCGTGATAGTATTTTTCTCGTACAAAAATAACTAGAATAAATTAAATTACTCATAAAAAAATAAAAAAATAATTAAATAATTTATATTTTATATGATAATAATAAAACATTTTATAAAAAAAACAGATTCAATAAATATAAGTATATATATAACATGTACTTATATTTATTGAATCTGTTTTTTAATAAAATGTTTTATAAGCTTAGAAAACTTGACTTCGACGTAACTAGCAAATTTTATTTAATTATTTCACGACGGTTTGACGTAATAAAATGTTTTATTATTATATAAAATATAAGTTTAAATTCTTTAATTAATTTTTAATCTTTTATGATTAATTTAATTTACTCTAATTATTTTTGTACGAGAAAAATACTATCATGGGTATACGTTTTATAATTAATTTAATATATTTGTGTTTAAAAATTATATTTGACCTTTAATTTTAATTTTTATTTTATTAAAATTAATAATTAACATATATACTAAATTGCGAATTATATGGATGAAAAAAATCCCCATTATGTGTGTAAGAGATTTCGGAACTCTTTGCTAAAAAATAATTAAAATTAAAAGTCAAATATAATTTTTAAACACTTTAATATTATTAAGAATATATAATTCGGTTCCCGAAATATATTAATTCATTATAAAACGTGATATTATTTTTCTCACATAAAAATGACTAGAATAAATTAAATTAATTATTAAAAAACTAAAAAGTAATTAAACGACTTAGACTTAGATGATAATAATAATGAAACATTTTATTAAAAAAAGATTCAATAACTAGTAGGTCAAGTTATAATTTTTTATTTATTTATTTATAACATTATGAGCTATTAAGCTCATCATCTCGTTCGCTCTCTGTCTTGCTTTCATTCGGCAAGTCACAAACGATATATGATACTCGTATGTTCCTACTTCAACTCTCGAGAATCTGAAACAAACGAAACTCGTGTCCAATATACAGGGTGTCCGGTAACTAACAGACCAATGATTACAAATGGATTCTTTGGTCAATTTGGGATCGATTTTTCCTCAGCGAAAATGTCGAAAAAGGTCATCATTTTTTACAACTTTCCAATCTTTGTCATTATATATCTTTATAACTAAGCCTTAAATTAAAATTTTATTATAGTAAACTCTACCTGAAATTAACTGAAGAATGTAATTATGTTAGACTTTGAACTCCAAAACGTTTAGTTTTCAAAAAACCTATTTTTTTCAATCGCTTATAACTCGAAAATTATTGACTTCTCTACATTTTTGCTAAGGAAAAATCGTCTCCAAATTGGCCAGAGAATCCGCCCTTAATCATTGGTCCGTTAGTTACCGGACACCCTGTATATATTATATAAAAGTGTATAGCACGTCAGAAGCTTGTGAGCTTACAGCGATAAGTAAAAACAATTGCGTATCTATTTCATTGCGTTTATCTGTTTAAACGCGCGCTTTAATTTTTCCAACGTTTTTGCCTGTTTATATTTTAAAGGTCCTCTCTTCTAAAAATCTTGTTTTAAAGATCCTCTCCGCGAGCAAAATTCGAAAACATAAATTATTTAATATTTTTACTTTATTATTTGTAAATCCTCGGTAATTTCAAAATTTTTCTATTTGAAAATTATTAATTTTCTATTGCCAATTAATTTTATCACAGACTTTACTCTTACTCCCATTGCACTTTCGTTTGCGGTTTTCAGTATACGATTTTTTATCGTAGTTACTGAAAATTATTATTGTGAATTATACTTGTGCAGTGATTTGAAGAATTTACAATTTCGTTGAAATTGTTGATTCTTCAAAAAAATTACGAGATTCGCGGAAATTGCGTGCTTTCTTGGCATTTTCCGTTCGCGGCAGGCGGTTTATTTTTGATTGTTGCAAGTGTTTTTTTTTTTTTTTTATTAAAATAGATAATAATAATGTAAAATAAATCACGATATTTGACAGATGTGCATATATATAGAAATTGTAATAATAATAATATTATATCATAAAATTGTAAATTGTTTCAATTTTTTATAGACTGCGATAAAAGATTTTACATTTGGATAAGAAACTGCGGTAAGTAAAAATATAAAATTCTTGAAAACGTACCAAAAATATTTGATAACGTAAAAAGGTGAACTTTGAAAAATAAGGAACTTAAAAATTGCACTAATAAATGGGCTATATGTGAGCCGTGCGCGGATGTAAGGTGTGTTATATCGAAATTTAATTAATAGAATTGAGAATTAATCCCAATTTTAAGTCTTACAAATGTCCAAGCTAATTTTTTGTACCTCGTGTACATTTTTGAAAGTTATATCGAAAAATTAAATTTCAATATGCGTCTTACATCTCACATTTCGCATACGGCTCACATATAGCCTATTTATCTCTTATACTTTATTTCAACCCTTATAGAAATTTATTACTAGTAACGCCAATTTATCAATTTTATTTCGAGTAATTAATCACTTTTATTTCGAATACTTAAATTACTGTATATTATAGTATTTTAAATACTCGAAATAAGTGATTAATTGGCATAGTGATAAATTTCTACAAGAGAATAAGGAGCCTTTAAATTCTTAATGTAAAAAATTTTAAGTAATTTTCTTTAATAAAATTTAATTAAAAATTTTTGAACACTGTGTTATATCACATTTAAAATCGTGATTATTTCAATAAAAAAACATTTTATGTGTAAAAAATATATTTTTTATATTTAATAAATTTTATATATATATATATATATATATATGCATATGTAAAATATTCTCTTTCTCTTTCTCTCTCTCTCTCTCACACACACACACACACACACAACGGGGGCCAAATCTCTCAAATTGGGCTCATGATCAATTAGCCTGGATTCGCACCAGGGGCAAAGTCTGTTGGTAATGTCAAACGAATTTAGCCTGGACTTGCACCAGGGGCAAAGTCTTTTGGTCGAGTCTACGAAATTTAGCACGGACTCGAACCAGGGGCAAAGTCTTTTGGTTCAAGTCTACGAAATTTAGCACGGACTCGAACCAGGGGCAAAGTGTGTCGGTAAGGGGCAAAGTCTATCGCATGAAGATGGCGGTCTCTTCTTTAGGCAGGCCTTTGGCGATCTGTCTATTAATCTGTGATAATACCAGAGAGAAGGATGAGAGTGGCAGAGAGAAGGATGAGAGTGGTCATCCCCTCGATTTAGCTGCAACCGGAATTCAAAGCGCCTCTATGTGCACAAAACGTGCACATTGAACTACGTAGCCATGTGCACGATGCTCCCGAGTGGTAACAGGCTATGTGCACGGTACGTGGTTCGATTCCGTGCTATGTGCACAGATGAGCGCCAGTAACACGTAGCTGTTAAAGGAGATGAGTTCGAGACCTCGCAGGGCCAATTTTTTTTTTTTTTTTTTTAGTACGACTATATTTGTCAATTTAATGAAATCCTTTTAATTATTGTGGAATAAAGAGATAAAATGCATTTCTCAAGCGTACGCGAGAAAATCGAAATCAAAAATAATGAGTGCCGTATAAATACGTATGGAATAGAGCGTTATATCGAAGAGCGTGTGGCGTAGCGTTAAGGGGCTAGACACGTACCGTCGAGATTAGAGGTTCGATTCTCAAGGAGTGACTTTTTTTTAATATTTTTTTATTTTAAATAAAATTTTTTTTTACCATAAAATGTAATTTTTACACAAAATAAATGTAAATAACACGATTTATTTACTTATAACACGTATATTACAAAAATGCATTTTTCTTTGCCTCAAAAAGCCGTGAAAAGCCGTCTGTAGAATAGCTGTATGCGATAGGAACTTGTATGATTATCTGTTTAATTAAAAATTATCCGATTTATGTCGTGTTTGGTGTCGTTGAAATCGCAAAAATCTCAATAATCCATTAATATTATTTTTGAATAGATAAAATGCAAAATAAAGGTTTTAGTTTTTCACTTATAAGATGTTTATATTTGTGAATTGCCATGGATGGGGAAGCCTATTGTTCGAGAGTTCGGAACTTTCTTTGATGATAGGTCCTCTCGCTCGCTCTATACGCAGTCTCGCTTTCTCTCTCGCACACGACGAGTTGTGAGATGAGCTCGAAAAGATAAGCGGGCCCGAGCGCCCGAGTATCGAGATCAAAGAACGTTCCGAACTCTCGAACAATAGGCTTCCCCATCCATGGCAATTCACAAATATAAACATCTTATAAGTGAAAAACTAAAACCTTTATTTTGCATTTTATCTATTCGAAAATAATATTAATGGATTATTGAGATTTTTGCGATTTCAACGACACCAAACACGACATAAATCGGATAATTTTTAATTAAACAGATAATCATACAAGTTCCTATCGCATACAGCTATTCTACAGACGGCTTTTCACGGCTTTTTGAGGCAAAGAAAAATGCATTTTTGTAATATACGTGTTATAAGTAAATAAATCGTGTTATTTACATTTATTTTGTGTAAAAATTACATTTTATGGTAAAAAAAAATTTTATTTAAAATAAAAAAATATTAAAAAAAAAGTCACTCCTTGAGAATCGAACCTCTAACCTCGACGGTACGTGTCTAGCCCCTTAACGCTACGCCACACGCTCTTCGATATAACGCTCTATTCCATACGTATTTATACGGCACTCATTATTTTTGATTTCGATTTTCTCGCGTACGCTTGAGAAATGCATTTTATCTCTTTATTCCACAATAATTAAAAGGATTTCATTAAATTGACAAATATAGTCGTACTAAAAAAAAAAAAAAAAAATTGGCCCTGCGAGGTCTCGAACTCATCTCCTTTAACAGCTACGTGTTACTGGCGCTCATCTGTGCACATAGCACGGAATCGAACCACGTACCGTGCACATAGCCTGTTACCACTCGGGAGCATCGTGCACATGGCTACGTAGTTCAATGTGCACGTTTTGTGCACATAGAGGCGCTTTGAATTCCGGTTGCAGCTAAATCGAGGGGATGACCACTCTCATCCTTCTCTCTGAGAGTGGTCATCCCCTCGATTTAGCTGCAACCGGAATTCAAAGCGCCTCTATGTGCACAAAACGTGCACATTGAACTACGTAGCCATGTGCACGATGCTCCCGAGTGGTAACAGGCTATGTGCACGGTACGTGGTTCGATTCCGTGCTATGTGCACAGATGAGCGCCAGTAACACGTAGCTGTTAAAGGAGATGAGTTCGAGACCTCGCAGGGCCAATTTTTTTTTTTTTTTTTTAGTACGACTATATTTGTCAATTTAATGAAATCCTTTTAATTATTGTGGAATAAAGAGATAAAATGCATTTCTCAAGCGTACGCGAGAAAATCGAAATCAAAAATAATGAGTGCCGTATAAATACGTATGGAATAGAGCGTTATATCGAAGAGCGTGTGGCGTAGCGTTAAGGGGCTAGACACGTACCGTCGAGATTAGAGGTTCGATTCTCAAGGAGTGACTTTTTTTTTAATATTTTTTTATTTTAAATAAAATTTTTTTTACCATAAAATGTAATTTTTACACAAAATAAATGTAAATAACACGATTTATTTACTTATAACACGTATATTACAAAAATGCATTTTTCTTTGCCTCAAAAAGCCGTGAAAAGCCGTCTGTAGAATAGCTGTATGCGATAGGAACTTGTATGATTATCTGTTTAATTAAAAATTATCCGATTTATGTCGTGTTTGGTGTCGTTGAAATCGCAAAAATCTCAATAATCCATTAATATTATTTTTGAATAGATAAAATGCAAAATAAAGGTTTTAGTTTTTCACTTATAAGATGTTTATATTTGTGAATTGCCATGGATGGGGAAGCCTATTGTTCGAGAGTTCGGAACTTTCTTTGATGATAGGTCCTCTCGCTCGCTCTATACTCGCAGTCTCGCTTTCTCTCTCGCACACGACGAGTTGTGAGATGAGCTCGAAAAGATAAGCGGGCCCGAGCGCCCGAGTATCGAGATCAAAGAACGTTCCGAACTCTCGAACAATAGGCTTCCCCATCCATGGCAATTCACAAATATAAACATCTTATAAGTGAAAAACTAAAACCTTTATTTTGCATTTTATCTATTCGAAAATAATATTAATGGATTATTGAGATTTTTGCGATTTCAACGACACCAAACACGACATAAATCGGATAATTTTTAATTAAACAGATAATCATACAAGTTCCTATCGCATACAGCTATTCTACAGACGGCTTTTCACGGCTTTTTGAGGCAAAGAAAAATGCATTTTTGTAATATACGTGTTATAAGTAAATAAATCGTGTTATTTACATTTATTTTGTGTAAAAATTACATTTTATGGAAAAAAAAAATTTTATTTAAAATAAAAAAATATTAAAAAAAAAAGTCACTCCTTGAGAATCGAACCTCTAACCTCGACGGTACGTGTCTAGCCCCTTAACGCTACGCCACACGCTCTTCGATATAACGCTCTATTCCATATGTATTTATACGGCACTCATTATTTTTGATTTCGATTTTCTCGCGTACGCTTGAGAAATGCATTTTATCTCTTTATTCCACAATAATTAAAAGGATTTCATTAAATTGACAAATATAGTCGTACTAAAAAAAAAAAAAAAAAAATTGGCCCTGCGAGGTCTCGAACTCATCTCCTTTAACAGCTACGTGTTACTGGCGCTCATCTGTGCACATAGCACGGAATCGAACCACGTACCGTGCACATAGCCTGTTACCACTCGGGAGCATCGTGCACATGGCTACGTAGTTCAATGTGCACGTTTTGTGCACATAGAGGCGCTTTGAATTCCGGTTGCAGCTAAATCGAGGGGATGACCACTCTCATCCTTCTCTCTGATAATACTTTCGCAGTGCACTGCTATCTATATCGGAACGCTATTGGTAGTACTGTCAGTACTTGCAGTGCATAACGGAACGCACCCTAAATAAGGACGATGTTCAATCGAGATTAATCGATTGTATTGAACAAAATCGATTGTTCGCTTTCGATCTATTTTCAAATTTCGATTAGTCTTCTTCTCCGATATTCATTTTGTTACGTTTTAATAAAAATATTTAATAAAATAATAAATTTATTATGTAATATTTAATATGTAAAATTTATTGTTAGTAATACTTTTATTCGAATCAGCTGTTTTTGATAGACGATGCTATACTAAATTTATTTCGCTAACACGTGAACAAATTATATAGTTTTCTATAAATTAATAAAATTTTCTCATTTTTGTCCTACTTTTCTAAGGCGACAAGAATACTTTTACTTCCGTTTTAAATATTAGAAACATTGATTATTTTTTTGCATTCCACTTTCAAATTTGATCTTCTCTGGTATTACTTAATTTTGCACATTTTAATAATAAATAAATTGTTATCTTGTGTAATATTTAAAATTTACTAGTAATAATATAAATTTATTCAAATCAGCTGTTTTTGACGGAACATATTTGTTTTTACACGCTAAACTAAATTTATTTCGCTAAAGTGAACAAATTATTTTTTATAAATTAATAAAATTATCTCCTCATTAGTTTTATATGTTTCTAAGACAACAGAAATGCTTTCACTTCCGGTTTAGATATCATCTAAACGATCGTTATGATCTGAAATTGTTAAACTCAGAAATAAAAGCATTTCTTAAAATTTACAATATGTATAGAAAAAGGGCTGTATATTTTTCTATTTATACAACCATGCGCCATATATTTTTTTATTTAAGTATAGGCGAGTAAATATTTATAATAATAACAATATCAAGTATCTTAAATGCTTATTCTTAAATTAGAAAAATATATAATATTCTCTTTATTATTTTATTCGCTTATTTTATAATAAAATTAACAATTAAGTTTTAAATTTCTATAAAAATAGTGTTATATTATATGTAATATGAATTATTGTTTAGCCTACTGTGGCTTAATTGTACATTAATTATTCACTAATATTCGGTACATAAATCTTTGATTCATCTATAGAATCTTATTATCATAAATCAGCTGTTTCTTTCTCTCTTTTTTTGTAAACTGAAATTCCCTATTTTGAGCTTTTCTTTTATTAAATTAATATTACATTATTATTTGTTGGAATATCAATTAGATATTGCATAGACATTTTTGGTTGTGTCTAGAATTTTTTTCCAACAATTAATTAATAGAGCAACATTTCCATTTCAGCCCAATTATATATATACATATCATTAAAATAACAATAAAAACTAAAAGAAATCTTCATAGTAAAGTTAATGTTTTGAGATCACAATATAGATAATCAATATTAGAAAGAGATTGTAAAATAGCAAAGAAATAATTTCAGAATAGAGAGATTCTCCTGTACAATTTCTACTGAAATTCATTACAATAAATATCATTGGTGCCAAAAACTTAATTATCGTACGAATCCATTAAAAGATTACCATCTTTGTCTTTCAATCGTTTTCTTCCATTGGAATAACGTGTTTCTTGAGTACCATCCGTGTAAACTAACTTTACAGTACCATCGGGGTACTCTCGTCTCTGAAATTAATTTTTTTATTATATATATGCGACATTAATTGAAAAACGTAACTATATGATTAAATAAAAAAAAGTGAAATGTATATTTTACAAATAAATCAAAATAATATATTTTGATTAAAATATTACATTTCAATTAAATAATAAAATAGAATAGTTTAATAAAACCAAGTATATTTTAATTTAATAAAATAGTATACTTTAATTATAATAAAAGTTGAAATAAAATTAGTTACTCTTACCTTATGCTCCTTCGTATGAATTTCTCTCTGACCATTCGGTAAAGTCAGAATTTTGTCGCCGTTAATAAAAGTTTCCGCTATCGTTCCATCTGGCAGGGACCATTTTTCTGTACCATCCGCTTGTGCTATTCGTACAGCTCCGTCTGGGAATGAAACTTCAATGGTACCATCTGATGCACGCTTCTCCACTTGACCGCTGTAAATATATATATATATATATATATTTATAAATATTCATATGACTATATAATCATATATATATATATAATATTCATATGACTATATAATCATATATATATAATATTCATATATTCATATATAAATATTTATTTTAATTAATAATTTTTAACTACCTTTAACTATATATTTTTTTATGTTAATACCCATATATGTGTGATATTTAATATTTACATTTATTTATATTTATTATATTTAATATTAATATTAAATATAATATAATAAATATTAATAAATGTAAATTTATATATATATATATATTAATCATATAAATATTTTTATATATTTTTTTATATTATATGTATATACATATACATATGTATATGGATATTTATATGAAAAATATATATATTTTTTATTCATCATGCATATTGATTATTTCAGTATAAAAATAAAAAAAGCGAAAAATCTGAAGAATGAATAAGAACACAAATAAAAACATACTCTGGAAACTCTAAAATCTCCAACCCATCCGGAGTCGTCGTATGCCAAGTCTTAGTCGTAGCGTAGAAATATTTTACTCTCCCATCCTTGTCTGTCTCGCGAACGTCTCCATTATAATAAATCATCTTCGTGATTTCTCGATCCGGAAAGACTTTCTTCACATTACCGTTCGGATACCAGTACTCGACACGTCCGTCCGTATATTGTATCTGTTTTACGATATCCTTATTAATAGTATTCGCTTCGCTGATCCGATGATGACGAAGAGAGGAGGGACTCTTCTCTATTCTATTCTGCATCTTTACATCGTCTTTTATTTTTGACTCATCATTCACATCTCGCGTGACGTGACTCTGATTTGGATTCTCCACCAGATTTGACGTCGCGTCCTTCAGCAAATTTTCATACAAATACTGCTTCTTCTTCGCGACGCTTTCGTCCGCAAATTTTATTGTTTTATTGCATTTTGGCTGGAAACCAACCCCAACTTGTTTAGACTCTACCTTCTTATTATCTACAGATATTTTATCCACTTGTTCTGAATCATCGTTTAAATAAACTGTTTTTACAATCGATTCCACCGACTTGTCCCTATCTTTAGCCTCATCTTTATCTTCGGGAGCAGAAGAATCTGAAGACAGATCTCGAGAAGGCATCATCATCTTCGCCGGAGGCTCTCTGGAGGACGGAGGTGCGGCGACACGTCTATTAATTTGATTGATAGCCCTGGTAATCATTTGTCCACTCTTCCTGGTATTCATGACGTTTGTCCTCTTGACATTCCGCAGGGTCGTGATCTCTTCCTTCAGCTTCGAAACTTCCGCCCTCAGTACGCGAAATTCGCTCTTGTACCTAGAGTTTAAATCATATTATTTATTTCATTGGATAAATTTGTCATAAATTTATAGCGAATCGCTGTTATATTTCTGTTTATTTTAGTTTTATATATTTTATGTATATTTATATATAATAATAATTTTATATATTTTCTGTATATTTATATATAATAATAATTTTATATATTTTGTATATTTATATATAATAATAATTTTATATAATTTATGCATATTTATATATAATAATTTTAAATTTAATAAAGATTAAAATTAGATATTTAAAGACAAGGCTCGTGTAATATTATAAAAATAAGATTTAGAAAGACAGGGCCAACTATAACGAGCATATTAAATTAGTTAGAGATGTAATGTCAACACATAATTACTTTATTTGTTAGTATATACAATGATAATAATTTTATACAATTTTTATATAATAATGTATAATAATTTTATGTATGTATATATATAGTCAGCAAATGGACGTCATTTTGATGTCTAATAACGTCATAAACGTCAAAATGACGTCATTAGACATCAAAATGACGTCCATTTGCTACTTGGGACTATATATAACACTCTTGTACCTGGATTCTGCGGCGTTCCACCTGCTCTCCCGGACCCCCAGGTCCTCCCTCAACCTTTCCAACTGCTCCTGCAGGTCCTGCGCCTTCTGCCTCTCCGTCTTGCTCTGCCTCGCCTTCTCCTGGGCGTCGCGAACTCGATTCTCCATCGCTATCCTCTCGCGGGCCAGTCTTTTCTTCTCCTCCTCCAACCGGTTCTCCACTCTCCTTCGATTTTCCTCGAAGTTCCTCTCCTTTTCCAAGTACTCCTTACGTAGGCTCGTCTGTTCGTTCTGCAGGCTTCGCCGCTGAAGTAGCAAGGCCGCGCTCTCCTTCCGAAATATGTCGATCTCCCTCTCGAGTTCCAGCAGACGGCTTTTCAGGAGTTCCGACTCGAAGCTTCTGGCGCCATTCGTCCGGTTTATTCGGTCCTCGGGTGGAAAGGAATCATGATCTTCCGCGTTCGAGCGTATCTTCAATATCTTCTCCATTAATAGCTTCTTTTCCGGCTCGCTTTTCAGGATGTACTTTTTCCTCTGAACGTCCGACGATGATGAGGATGATGATGACAAGACGGATCGCTGCTCCTCTTCGTCAGACGTTTCGATGATTTCTTCCATCATCGCGCAATCATTATCATCTTCGTATATATCCTTTTCTTCTTCTTCATCAGCCTCTGTTAAGCGATAATGTGCATTCTCCTGCAAGAACAACTGCCTGGAAACGTCGGCCGCTTCTTTGTCGCTCGTGACTTTCAGGGAAGATGTCTGTTTCCCATAATTCAACGGCACGAGTCTCTCTTCAACATCGGAGGACTCTGACGTTTCAACGGAATGATTCCAGTTTTGTTGCTCGAGGGAATCTCTCAGAGGAGATTTATCTGCCGCATCAGTTAAATCTATAGTTCTGTATTCATTGTATTCTGAGAATCTGACGCAATGGTTCGCATCCGAGGATTCACCATCGCGTGCTGAATCATTCCTCTTGGAGATGTCTGCCTCTTCATCGCTGTCTGATGATGACGCTGCAATAACATCTAGATCATGAGCCTTCGCACCATCAGTGTTAAGTTTCCTCTCTTGCATATCACTGACAGATTCTGTATTCAAATAAGGATCAGTGGTGGAATTAATACAAGACTGTTTTTGACTCCAAAACTGTTTGAACTGATGCTGTGCCCTGGATTTTAAATTTTCCACGTGCGCAGATCGCTGAGGTGTCGATTCCTGTTCGATCGTATCGTTTTGCCCTCTTGCATTTGTCAAGAGTGCTTCGCTGTCTTTAGAATTCAATCCCTTCTTTATCTTGAACGGCGTGGACTGCTGCAAAAATGCCAGTACCGTGCTGGATGTCGAACAGAAGCTGGAATTTTTCGCTTTCTCCTCCATGAGCTCGAATATTCTCATCTCCTCCATTTCTCTGTCCATCTTCGAATCGGAATCCGATGCATTCATCTCCTGCACGTATCTTGTTTGCTTGGAAGCAACGTAAGCAGTTTGTTTACTTGAAGTGATGATTTTGTTTCTAGGTAATGGAACACTTTTTAGACTCAACTGTCGCTTTTCACCTGCAACGAAATTATTTGGAGATCTCGAGGCCATATCTTTGTGCACGGTAGACTTTCTGCATTTATCACTTTTATTGATGCAGTGTTTAGGAGTAAAAGACATGCTGTGCTTCCTCATAGTTGTTGATTGCTTCGTATCTTGAGAGATTTTGAATCTCGAAAGTCCTTGGCCTTTCTTGAGGAACGGTTTCTTTGGTTTAGTCTTTGCATCGTTGTGCACATTTAACATAGCTTCTGATTCTCTCTTCAATCTCTCTTCCAGGAGTGTGTGAAAGTCCTTTTTAGGCGAGGGAAGAGGAATATCGTCAATTGCGATACATTTATTCGAAACTGCATTGTCCAACGATAGCGGCTTTATTCCTTCTATTAATAAATTCGCATCCAGTTCTTTGTCTGGCGATAATATACTGGAATTATAACGTTTAATCGAATCTCTATTTTTATCCATGATTGCGGAACGATCCGAATCTTCAGATTCTTCCTCCTTACAATTTTCATACAATGTATCAGCATTTTGAGTTGATGCTTCTTTGTCAATCACTTCCAATGCATTATCCAAATTCTTCATATCGCAATGGGAACCTAAAACTTCGTCAAATATTTCTGTCTTTGTCCCATGCATAACATTTTCTGTATTATCAATGATGTCATTGAGATCATGTATCGTCAAACCAAGTGCTTTGCAAATACGATTCTGCTCATTGCTTAAAACCTCTCTCTGCATCTGTTGTTGTTTTAACAACCTTTCCTGTTGTTCTATTTGCCATTGCCTTAACTTTTCTAATCGTTCAGCTATAGAAGCTTCTATATCCATGGCTCAATATACCTGAAATTATTAAAACAATCAATTTTTAATTTTAAAATCAGTTTTATTCTAAAAAATAATAATCTGTATGTATATATATATATATATAATATCTAAATATAAGTTACATCTACAAAAGCATTACATGTAATTAAAATCTGAAAATATGAAGAAAAATTTAAGTTTTATATAAAACAATTTCTTAATATATAAAATAAGAATAAAAACTTACTTAAGAAAAGGATACAATGCTTTTTTGTGAAGGCATTAAGTAATGCAATATTAATTATTAATGTTAATTTAGCACTGTATAAATAAGTCTTCAAAATAAATGAGATAAAATGCATTTAGACTGTAGATAAATCCAAAGTGCAAACAATCTGAAATAAAATAGTATATATATATATATATATATATATATATATACTATTTTATTTCAGATTGTTTGCACTTTGGATTTATCTACAGTCTAAATGCATTTTATCTCATTTAATTATTAATGTTAATTTAGCACTGTATAAATAAGTCTTCAAAATTAAATGAGATAAAATGCATTTAGACTGTAGATAAATCCAAAGTGCAAACAATCTGAAATAAAATAGTATATATATATATATATATATATATATATATATATATATACTATTTTATTTCAGATTGTTTGCACTTTGGATTTATCTACAGTCTAAATGCATTTTATCTCATTTAATTTTGAAGACTTATTTATACAGTGCTAAATTAACATTAATAATTAATATTGCATTACTTAATGCCTTCACAAAAAAGCATTGTATCCTTTTCTTAAGTAAGTTTTTTTATTTGTATTATATATATATATATATATATATATATATATATACATTTATAAAATACTGTTGTCTTGAATCATTTTAAAAGGAAGATAAAATTATAAATGTTATTTGTAAATTATATATATATATATATATAATTTACAAATAACATTTATAATTTTATCTTCCTTTTAAAATGATTCAAGACAACAGTATTTTATAAATGTATATCCTGTATTTATATACAGTTATGTGCAAAATAATAGCCCATTGAAAAAATGAGGGGAATTTGTATGTTTTCTCTACCATGTTTAACTGTCTTGACTGTATGTATATCTGTATGTATATTATAGGATTGAATTCTGACTTTTGTAGTCTTTGAACAAACAGATGAAACCAGGTCATTCTTTAATAATCACTTTTCGATGGGTGAGGAAAAATACAAATTCATTTTTTCAACTGATGCTATTATTTTGCACATAACTGTATATATATTAATATATATAAATATGTACAGGGTGTCTCATAGGAAATTGCTGAAACTAATCAGCTATTATTTTTTAATGCATGCAGTTATTAAGAAAACAAAAATTGTTGGAAAGAGGAAAGTGTGCAGTTTTTAATGGATATAAATAAAATGTTTGTATACCAATTTATTTTATTGATAAAAAGTAATAAAAAAAGTTCTAATAATCACATAAAATTACATAAACTAATGATAAATATTTTCAACAGTGTCAGATTTAATAGTAACTATTAAAAGGATCATTAATAACATTAAAAATGACATTAGAAAGTTTTTACGAATTTTCGTAAAAGAAAATTTTGTACAAATTTAAATGGTGCGCACTTCAAAAATATTTATCATTAGTTTACATATGTGATTATTAGCACTTTTTCAATAAAATAAACTGATATACAAACATTTTATTTATATCCGTTAAAAACTGTAGACTTTCCTCTTTCCAGCACAATTTTTGTTTTCTCAATAACTGTATGCATTAAAAAATGACAGCTGATTAGTTTCAACAATTTCCTATGGGACACCCTGTATATATAAATATGTATATATAAGTATATGTATATATAAATAAATAAATATGTTTTATAAATATATATACCTTCATAATACAAAAACAATTTTAAGTCATAAATTCATAAATATATTAGATGCTTCATTGTTCACTCCAGTAAAATGCAACAAATATTGTTCCTTCACTCTTTTTCGTTTATAAGAAAAAGAAATACACGATTTTACAAAATCATGATTGTTGATAAACATATTTTCAAAGAAGCATGCACATCAAACCAGTTATGGCGGGACGTCGCAGACGCCATCTTTGTTATTGCTTGAAATACCAACTTCATAATCATTTTTAAGTCCAATTTTTATGAATACCAACATTCAAATGGATTGGTTATTCGCTAGGAATTCGAGAAAGACCCTAAATTTTTATATAGAAAATCCTAAAAATTGCCTGTTTTGTTAGAAATTTAGCTTATACAGCATTTATATACATACAGAGAGAAAGATGAGAGCGGCCAGCCCGGCGTTTTGGCTGTTACCGTTTTTACGGGACTGCTTGAAGCGCCCCTCGCACCCGTTTTTAATATCGGAACTAACTGCACACCCATTTTCTGCAGGGTCGATAAAGTTTGTATTTGGTGCGAGTCCGTGCTACGCCCATAATTTTCGTGTTAACACAGTATCACCACAGATTAATAGACAGATCGCCAAAGGCCTGCCTAAAGAAGAGACCGCCATCTTCGTGCGATAGACTTTGCCCCTTACCGACACACTTTGCCCCTGGTTCGAGTCCGTGCTAAATTCGTAGACTTGAACCAAAAGACTTTGCCCCTGGTTCGAGTCCGTGCTAAATTTCGTAGACTCGACCAAAAGACTTTGCCCCTGGTGCAAGTCCAGGCTAAATTCGTTTGACATTACCAACAGACTTTGCCCCTGGTGCGAATCCAGGCTAATTGATCATGAGACCAATTTGAGAGATTTGGCCCCCGTTGTGTGTGTGTGTGTGTGTGTGTGTGTGTGTGTGTGAGAGAGAGAGAGAGAGAGAGAGAGAGAGAATATTTTACATATATGCTATATATATAAAATTTATTAAATATAAAAAATATATTTTTTACACATAAAATGTTTTTTTATTGAAATAATCACGATTTTAAATGTGATATAACACAGTGTTCAAAAATTTTTTAATTAAATTTTTTAATTAAATTTTATTAAAGAAAATTACTTGAAATTTTTTACATTAAGAATTTAAAGGCTCCTTATTCTCTTGTAGAAATTTATCACTACGCCAATTAATCACTTATTTTGAGTATTTAAAATACTATAATATACAGTAATTTAAGTATTCGAAATAAAAGTGATTAATTACTCGAAATAAGTGATAAATTGGCGTTACTAGTAATAAATTTCTATAAGGGTTGAAATAAAGTATAAGAGATAAATAGGCTATATGTGAGCCGTATGCGAAATGTGAGATGTAAGACGCATATTGAAATTTAATTTTTCGATATAACTTTCAAAAATGTACACGAGGTACAAAAAATTAGCTTGGACATTTGTAAGACTTAAAATTGGGATTAATTCTCAATTCTATTAATTAAATTTCGATATAACACACCTTACATCCGCGCACGGCTCACATATATATAGCCCATTTATTAGTGCAATTTTTAAGTTCCTTATTTTTCAAAGTTCACCTTTTTACGTTATCAAATATTTTTACGTTTTCAAGAATTTTATATTTTTACTTACCGCAGTTTCTTATCCAAATGTAAAATCTTTTATCGCAGTCTATAAAAAATTGAAACAATTTACAATTTTATGATATAATATTATTATTATTACAATTTCTATATATATGCACATCTGTCAAATATCGTGATTTATTTCACATTATTATTATCTATTTTAATAAAAAAAAAAAAAAAACACTTGCAACAATCAAAAATAAACCGCCTGCCGCGAACGGAAAATGCCAAGAAAGCACGCAATTTCCGCGAATCTCGTAATTTTTTGAAAAATCAACAATTTCAACGAAATTGTAAATTCTTCAAATCACTGCACAAGTATAATTCACAATAATAATTTTCAGTAACTACGATAAAAAATCGTATACTGAAAACCGCAAACGAAAGTGCAATGGGAGTAAGAGTAAAGTCTGTGATAAAATTAATTGGCAATAGAAAATTAATAATTTTCAAATAGAAAAATTTTGAAATTACCGAGGATTTACAAATAATAAAGTAAAAATATTAAATAATTTATGTTTTCGAATTTTGCTCGCGGAGAGGATCTTTAAAACAAGATTTTTAGAAGAGAGGACCTTTAAAATATAAACAGGCAAAAACGTTGGAAAAATTAAAGCGCGCGTTTAAACAGATAAACGCAATGAAATAAATACGCAATTGTTTTTACTTATCGCTGTAAGCTCACAAGCTTCTGACGTGCTATACACTTTTATATAATATATACAAGGTGTCCGGTAACTAACGGACCAATGATTAAGGGCGGATTCTCTGGCCAATTTGGAGACGATTTTTCCTTAGCAAAAATGTTGAGAAGTCAATAATTTTCGAGTTATAAGCGATTGAAAAAAATAGGTTTTTTGAAAACTAAACGTTTTGGAGTTAAAAGTCTAACATAATTACATTCTTCAGTTAATTTCAGGTAGAGTTTACTATAATAAAATTTTAATTTAAGGCTTAGTTATAAAGATACATAATGACAAAGATTGGAAAGTTGTAAAAAATGATGACCTTTTTCGACATTTTCGCTGAGGAAAAATCGTTCCCAAATTGACCAAAGAATCCATTTGTAATCATTGGTCTGTTAGTTACCGGACACCCTGTATATTGGACACGAGTTTCGTTTGTTTCAGATTCTCGAGAGTTGAAGTAGGAACATACGAGTATCATATATCGTTTGTGACTTGCCGAATGAAAGCAAGACAGAGAGCGAACGAGATGATGAGCTTAATAGCTCATAATGTTATAAATAAATAAATAAAAAATTATAACCTGACCTACTAGTTATTGAATCTTTTTTTAATAAAATGTTTCATTATTATTATCATCTAAGTCTAAGTCGTTTAATTACTTTTTAGTTTTTTAATAATTAATTTAATTTATTCTAGTCATTTTTATATGAGAAAAATAATATCACGTATACGTTTTATAATGAATTAATATATTTCGGGAACCGAATTATATATTCTTAATAATATAAAAGTGTTCAAAAATTATATTTGACTTTTAATTTTAATTATTTTATAGCAAAGAGTTCCGAAATCTCTTACACACATAATGGGGATTTTTTTCATCCATATAATTCGCAATTAAGTATATATGTTAATTATTAATTTTAATAAAATAAAAATTAAAATTAAAGGTCAAATATAATTTTTAAACACAAATATATTAAATTAATTATAAAACGTATACCCATGATAGTATTTTTCTCGTACAAAAATAATTAGAGTAAATTAAATTAATCATAAAAGATTAAAAATTAATTAAAGAATTTAAACTTATATTTTATATAATAATAATAAAACATTTTATTACGTCAAACCGTCGTGAAATAATTAAATAAAATTTGCTAGTTACGTCAAAGTCAAGTTTTCTAAGCTTATAAAACATTTTATTAAAAAACAGATTCAATAAATATAAGTACATGTTATATATATACTTATATTTATTGAATCTGTTTTTTTATAAAATGTTTTATTATTATCATATATAATATAAATTATTTAATTATTTTTTAATTTTTTTATGAGTAATTTAATTTGTTCTAGTTATTTTTGTACGAGAAAAATACTATCACGGGTATACGTTTTATAACGAATTAAATATATTTATGTTCAAAAATTATATTTGACCTTTAATTTTAATTTTGTATTTTATTAAAATTAATAATTAACATATATACTTAATTGCGAATTATATGGATGAACAAAATCTCTATTATGTGTGTAAGAGATTTCGGAACTCTTTGCTAAAATAATTAAAATTAAAAGTCAAATATAATTTTTGAACACTTTTATATTATTAAAAATATATAATTCGACTCTCGAAATATATTAATTCATTATAAAACGTATACGTATTAGTATTTTTCACATATTAAAATGATTAGAATAAATTAAATTAATTATTAAAAAACTAAAAATTAATTAAACGACTTAGACTTAGATGATAATAATAATGAAACATTTATTAAAAAATAATTATAATAGGTCAGGTTAATATTTTATTTATTTATTTATTTATAACATCATAAAATTCTGTCCTTTCCGAAATACGCGAACGCTACGAAAAGATAAATCTCGTACATGCCGCCGGACGAGTTCATGAGCATGAGACGCTCTTATCTTGGGAACGTATTAATAGTTACTGCATTGACTACTACTACGATATGGCGCTGAAATCAGTGAGAAATGCTGGTCTCTCCTTCATCCAGACCTTTGGCGATCTGTCTATTAATCTGTGGTTATCACGTATTCATTCTGTATATGTGCGATCTTTTCTCTTTGTTTTTATATATATATATATATATATATATATATAGTATTTATATAATTTGTATAAAAACTAAAATATAATTATTAAAAAATATATATATTATGTATATGTGTAAGAATATATAAATCTTATTTTAATTAAAATACAAAAGAACGATTAATTGTTCGAACCACCTGGATTTTGGAATGTAATTTTTAATATATATCGGAGACGCGGTAGCGTCTCGCTAAGTTATATCTTTCATTCGTCAAATTAAAATACAATCTACAAAAAAACAAAAAAAAATATCGAAAGATATCGAAAAGATAGCGAAAATATCGAAACAATAGCGAAAATTATCCGTAGGACGCTACTGTGTATCCTTTACCGGACCGTAACACGATTTTCGTAACCTTGAAAACAAAAATTGAAATATTTCATGAACGGAAACATATTTTTCAAAAGATGACCATATCAATCGAAAGCGCGATTTTTTCCGAGTAAAATGAGACCTTAACGAACTTGATAGCTCTATTGGTTGCGGAGATATGAATTTTTCAAGTTATTTTTGGTCGAAAAGGTGTCACTTTTTTTTAAGACTACGGCGTCGTACTGTCCGCGGTCACCCATCCCGACAAAGTGATTCTGTCCGAAGCTGCTTTACCTTATCCGCGGTCACCCATCCTAGTATAGTGACATTTTCCTCAGCTGCTTAACCTTTTAAGCAACCAAACGAAAAATAAATTCTCGCTCTCTCTCACTCTCTCTCTCTCTCTCCCCCCTCTCTCTCCCTCTCTCTCCCCCTTTTTCACCCTTTCTCTCTTGCTTTCCCACGTCTTTTTTCGCTCTCTCTCGCCCTCTCTCGCTTTCTCTCGCTGTCTCTCGCTCTCTCTTGCTCTCTACCGCTCTCTCGCGTTCTCTCGCTCTCTGCCGCTCTCTCTCGCG